CTGCTACTGCTGCTGCTGCTGCTGCTGCTGCTGCTGCTGATGCAGCTACTACTACTACTATTACTATTACTATTGCTTCTACTGCTGCTGCTGCTGCTGCTGCTGCTACTACTACTGCTGCTGCTGCTGCTGCTGCTGCTGCAGCTACTACTACTACTACTACTACTACTACTACTACTACTATTACTATTGCTGCTACTGCTGCTGCTGCTACTGCTGCTGCTGCTGCTGCAATTACTACTACTACTACTACTACTACTATTAATATTACTATTGCTGCTACTGCTGCTGCTGCTGCTGCTGATGCTGCTGATGCTGCTGCTGCTGCTGCTGCTGCTGCTGCTGCTGCTGCTGCTGCCGCTGCTGCTGCTGCTACTGCTGCTGCTGCTGCTGCTACTACTACTACTACTACTACTACTACTATTAATATTACTATTGCTGCTACTGCTGCTGCTGCTGCTGCTGATGCTGCTGATGCTGCTGCTGCTGCTGCTGCTGCTGCTGCTGCTGCTGCTGCTGCTACTGCTGCTGCTGCTGCTGCTACTACTACTACTACTACTACTACTACTACTACTACTATTACTATTGCTGCTACTGCTGCTACTGCTGCTACTGCTGCTGCTGCTGCTGCTGCTGCTGCTGCTGCTGCTGCAGCTACTACTACTACTACTACTACTACTATTACTATTGCTGCTACTACTACCACTCCTATTACTATTACTATAAATAATAATAATAATCACAGTTGTTAATGCCTGACAAAGCGGAGGATAGCCAGTAATTGCAGCTTCATTGTTATACCAGATAAAATATGGCTTCTGTTGCGAAGGTGTTCGTAATGTATGCTGATTGTATGCGATAAAATTAATGGTATTGGCGAAGCTGGTTCTTGCATCACCCAGGCCAGTCACTGTAGCCAGACAAGCCTCTGGACAAGTCAGTGTAGCCAGAGAAACTGCTGGACCAGTCAGTGAAGTGCTGGAGTGCAGCTGTGCAACTGTAAACTACCAAGAAAAATGGCATTGATGTTAACAGTGAAAGTGATTATCTCTCAGTGTATATATCCCGGGAAGTGTATATTTCTAGCATGTACATAAATAACAAAAAGGCACAATACCGTGACTGGAACGATACACAAATAACCCGGGTTATTTGTGTATAGCATGTACACTAATGAGAGATATACGCTTCTCAGTGTGTCACTCCGAAAGGTGAATATAAGCTAAGTTATATATATATAATATATATATATATATATATATATATATATATATATATATATATATATATATATATATATATATATATAGTTCATCAAGTATTTCTTTTAAGATCTGTGGGAATTACTAGTAGTTTTGACTGTTACGATACCAATTGCACTTCATACCATCTAAAAGGGACCAGGAGGCACACATCCCGTACAACACATCATAGTAATAATGGTAGCTATGACAACATCCCAAGTGATTTTTTAGTGATAGGAAACGAAGAAAGAAAATGGAAAGAGATAACCAAAATAGTCCACCACCTTGGAGCCTTGTTGGACTGGAGGCACAGCCAGTGGCACCTCCGGGCTCACAGCTACTGATACCAACAACAAAATCCCCCCAACAAACATGCAGCACAACCTCAATTATATTGCTTATATACAGGGCCTTAAGACATCCACCAACAACAAAATACCTTTCATTAGTGGACTTCTAGGGGAGTCAAATGCACTGTTTGCAGCCTTCACAGAGACCCAGGCAAAAGATTACTCTGACAGTGAAATATGGATGCCTGGATACAACCTTTTCAGATGCGACAGAAAGAACAGGCAACAAGGCAGGGGAGGTTGGCCTGTATGTCAAAGAGTAGCTCATTTGCACAGAGATACTGAACACCACAAATGATGTAGTTAAAGTTCTGACAAAAATCGAGAACCAAAACTTAGTCATTGTACTTGTATATAAGCCACCGGATGCAACTTCCCAACAGTTCAAAGAACAACTATTAAAAATTGACTCCTGTCTGGATAACTTTCCAGCCCCATCCCCAAACATCTTGCTGCTTGGTGACTACAATCTCAGACACACAAAATGGAAGTAGCTGAAATAATATTGTAGCTGAAATAATCCCTGGAGGTAGCTCAGATGAAAGGTCACACACACAGGAGCTACTGAATTTCTGCATCAAACACACCCTAAGTCAGCAGTTACTGGAGTCAACAAAACTGGAGAACACACTGGACCTTATTTTCACAAATAATGAGGACCTGGTAAGGAATATAACAATATGAAAATAAACAAATTCTGATAACAATCTAATTGAAGTCCAGACTTGCATGCACAGGCGTCCTGATCGGCAAAATGCATACAGATATGAGGGTACCTTTACTAAATTCAACTTCAACAATAAGAACATCATCTGGAATCAGGTAAACTATGCCCTAAATGAAACATACTGGGAGGATATCTTAAATTACATGGACCCTAACCAATGCCTCGAAAAGATCACCCTC